TGTCTCTTGCAAGAAACCAATTTCTATCTTTTGGTTAACCAAAAAATCGTATACTAATGCTTTTTTAGAGTGAGAGTTCAGGCCCTGAGTGTTAGCTGATATCATTTTAACCATATTCCCCACAGAAGCCTCCCAGCATCCCCGACGGCATGTTCAACAACAACAATGAAACAAAACAAATACTAAAACATTCATACCCTTCCTTTCTAGTTATAGACCAGATAGGAAAGAATGGCCTCTCACCCATCGAAAGGGGGAGAGCCATTTTCTCGATATGTGAAATTCGCATTTTCACCATATCGGTTATTGTGTCTCAACCACGGACACATGGCTGGGAGAAAAAAAAGAAAATGCCCTTGAGGAGGAGATACATTTATCAATTATAATCCTGAGTGAGTTAGCGTATTTTCTTGCCAAGAGAAAGGTAAAAAAAACAAACAAAAAAAAAACAAAACACATAGCAATTTTTCTTTTTTCTTTTAGTCTACTTATATACCTTCTATATTATCCTTCATTTTACCAGTTTATGATTTATAATTGTTTCCCTTGTGACTAGGTGTTTTCATATAGTTATGTGCTCTATTTGTCTATTTGGGTAATTGTGACTTCTTCTTCCCAGCCGGTTTTTCAATAGTAAATCATTACTCTCATACCTTATACCTAGGGTTTTACCTATTATTTTTTATCTATACACAACAACATATTCTATGTATCCATTTTGTAAAAAATCCCCCATAACTCCTTTTACTCAATACTTTCTTATTGAAAAAAACAACTTTCAGCTTTACCCTTTTTCCTAAGAAAATTGCCTGTTTCCTGTTAGTCTAATTATACAACAACATATCTGTATTATCCTTCGTTTTGCCACCTCTTATACCTTGGGTTTTGTTTATCTCTTCTTCCCTTCTTCACTGCCCCTTGTGCCCTTCCTTTGTTTTTTCTTTTTCTTTAACCTTTCCCTTTTCAATATATCCAAAAGCCTATTTATATCATGTCGATTTTGTGAATAGTGTACCATTACTCCTTTTACCCAAAAATTTCCTAGTGAAAGAGAGGAAAGAAAAAAAAAAATCCAAATCTACTACATATCTATTTCTTCCTATTCGTTTTTTCATTAACAAATATACCCCATTAAAACCATTTACTAATGATTTTGTGCTTTATTTTAATATAAATACTTTTATCTTCTTCACGCTGTTGTGTTTTGTAAGAAAAAACTCTAATTCTACTACATAATATCTATTTCTTCTTTGTGTTTTTAGCATTAACAATTTTGTCCCTTCAAGGCCATTTACTAGTAATTTTGTGTTTCATATTATTTAAGGTGTTTTTATCTTCTTCGTCCTTTTGTGTTTTATAAACCATACTCCTTATTATTAAACTATAGGTACACCCTCCAAATCTACTGCATATCTACTTCTTCCTAATCGTTTTATCGTTAACAATTCTACCCCATTGAAACCGTTTACTAGTGATTTTGTGCTTCATATTATTTTAAATGCTTGTGTCTTCTTCACACTATTGTGTTTTATAAACCATACTCCTTATCCATAAACAACATTATATATATCAAAAAAAAAAAAAAAGTGGTTCAATTATTATTTGATCTTTGTTAGTTCCATCCAACTGTTCAATGATTCTTTAGAATCAAAATTTTCGGTTTTTCCATTCCAAAACACCCTCAGTGTTGAAGGGAAGCCCCATCTATAATTAATGTTCTTCTGTCTCAAGGTCGGCAGTAAGTCCTTGAAAGTTTTTCGCCATGATCTAGTTGAAAATGATAGATCTTGAAATATAATTAAATTCTTAAACTTTTCCTCCACTGTCGGCTTGTTCCTCATAGCTGCCATTATTCGTTCTTTTGTTTTATAAGAGTGGAATTTTACCATTACGTCCCTTACTAAAGTCTCCGAAGCATTGTAAGGTTTAGGCAGTCGATGACACCGGTCTGTCAAATAATCATGGAGGTCCCCATCCGATATCAAATTCTTGAAGAATTCTAGGAGAAAGCCTTCAAGTTTTTCATTGGATACCTCTTCTGGAATATTTCTTATTCTAATGTTTGCTCTCCTGGATCTATCTTCCATATCACAGATTTTAGTTTCGAGTACTCCTATTTTGTTTGTGAGTCCTGCAATCGTTTCTTGACATGTGTTGTGTTTTTTTTCAAATTTTTTTAAGTTTTCCTCCATTTCTGCTAATTTGACCTGAATCATTTTAAATTCCTGCTTTAATTCTCTCATATTAGCCGTCATATCTTCACCTATAGCTCTGTGAAATTTCTCCAAATTTTTTGTGAGAACATCTTCTGTCATAGGTGTTTTTATTTGTGCCTCTTTAATTAAACTATAATTTGTTTCCAGATTCTCTTCAGAGTCCTCTGGGTTGATTTGAGTCTTTTGTTGAGAGGGTGCAGGTGAAAAATACCCCGAAAGTCTTTTATCAGACTGTAAGTCTTTCTTTTCTTTTTTCTTCCTATCTTCTTGAGATTTTTTTGTAGCCATGTCTTTCTTAATTTCTCCTTTTCTTTAGTTTTTAACTTTTTGATGTTGTTACATATATATGTTACATATATATGGATAGAATTAGTGGAGGGGGTTATTGTGGCAGATTTTAACAACAGGACAGAAAAAAACCCCAAACAGAACCCAATCAGGTACTTGTATGTTAAGCGTTTATAGGAAAGATCCCTTTTTTTCCTCTTTTCTCTTTCCTTTTTCTCTCTTGCTCCTTACTCCTCCAAACAATCTGATAGCCCACCCATCCTCTTTATCAATTGAGAGACCTCAGACTTTAACTTTGTTCAGAGTTAATAGTTTTATAGTATTATAGTAATAGATTTCCACTTCAAAGGCACTTAGTATTGTTAGCACAGGCAGAAAATAAATATTTATATATTTTCTCTCTTTTTTTTTTCAGGTTTTAGCAAGTTTTAGCTGTACTCTTGGTAGTACCTTAATCGTTCGGCAGCTTTAATCTTTCAGAGCCCCCCTCTTTAGCCGCTTTCACTCATTGTACCTTCGCTCTGTTGTTCATCTCTGCTAGTCTGATTATCTTCGCGTCTTTTTTTTCCCTTCTCCCTTCGCCACAATTGCTCTGGTCACTGGTCACTGGTCTCTCTCCCGATGGTCTTCTCCCCCCTCCTTCACCACTACTTTGTTATTATCCAGTTTGCTGTGCAGCAGCCCAGCAAAGTATTAAAGCACACCGTGTGTAAGTCAGCGCTTGGTCGTCTCTCTCTAGCCACGCTCTCAACACCTCACTCACGGGCATTCCTAGTCCCGCCTCACGACGTCAACGTCTTCACGTCATACGCCCATACGTCTGAGGGGCGGCGAGCCAACAGTCTGCAGCAACTAGTTCCCAGGTCGCCCTCACCTGCCTATACCAGCTTTTTTCAAAACGAAAGTAGTTACAGGTTAATACCGCTTCAAGAAGTTACATTGTATATTCAATGTGTGGACCTTGATAATACGGTGATTCAGTCAGAACTTGTCTTGCTGCTGCTATACCTTCACAATCAGGAATCACCGTATATAGACTTTTGACTTTACAGGTCAATAGCATAACTGGTTCAGAGGGTAATTCAACAGCTGAGACCCGTTGTAAAAAAGAAGGTGTATCCTTCAAGCATGTCATTAGATTAGCCACTGTATCTTTCATAAGGAAGTCCAACCATTGGGCTATTGGTTCTAAAATTCCTTGTTTAGCCGACACAATTGGCCGTCCCGGGGGTTATATATATTACTCAATCACCTGGGGTGGCAAGACATAGCTTTACATATTACATGCAACAATATTTGGAGCAATGACTTATGGGGCTGGCATAGATTTTTTTTCCAGGGCTGCTTTGTATCCCCAGTCTGGCCCTGCCCTTAATGGAAACCATTAATTAAAGATATGGAACAGTAAATTGACAAACCCATATCTCGGATTGGAGCGGATCCATTCTGTAAAAATGAATGTCTTACCAGGAATCCTTTTCCTATTTCAGGCACTGCCGATACCCCTGACCAAAGCACAACTCACACCTGTGATGGACCGGCTGTCAATCGATGCTCCTAGCGCTTACCAAAGACCATCAGCACCGCACCGGACACCATAGCCACCGCTCACTGAACAGCCGTAGCTTGGTTAGGGTCTCACCGTCTCCTTCCCACCCTGGTCCAACCTCTGGATCCAGGACCATGTGGGAAGGACCTTTCCTTCAGGAGAGTAAAGCTTTATAGCTGAAGAATGTTCTTACAAGATCCAGCAGTGATATATCAGTTATTTCTGTTCCCTACAACACGAGATGAGGTGCGAGTTGAGGGTAAGAAGGTCTGGTTTATTGAGCACAAAGGCATTTCTTTTATACACATTTTTAGGCCAGAGGCACACCCCCTGGACCTGATGGAACACATGGACACAAACCAATAGGAACAATAATTATCACAGTAACACTCCCACTTACAGTCAGCAAGCCCTCCCCTCTGCCTGTGATATAATTAAGAGAGCTAATGGAATAACTTAATTATCCACAGGCAGAAAATAAAAAATTTTACCCAAAGTTCAGAAACACCCCAAAACTCAAACATATTCCCATAACTCCCACATCCCTGGATAGCTCTGATCTGGGTGAACAACATATCCAAAAATCACCCAGATCAGAGTAGGGGTTTAAAAGTTTTATGGAAGTCTCTTTTGACTGACCGCAAGCATGGCATTCATGCCCAAAATAGTTCCAGAGAATTAGGCTGTGCAGCCAGTCTAATTTCAATGTTAAAAGTGCCTATAGTACAAGGAAGGGTGGGGTCAGACAATAGCAAGGGCTGATGGGAGATTGAGAAGGGACAAAGCAGCCAGTTTAAACTGGTCTGGCAGTATCCCTGGGACAACGCCCTGCTGGGCAAACAATAGGACAGAAAAAAGGGAGAGGGGAAGAGGCACATTTTCCCATGGAAGTCACTTTTTAGCATGTTTTTTTGCAGGGCCCATAGTCTTTGGGCAAAAAGACTCTCCAAAAACCAGTGGCAAAACTGCTTTCATCACAGCACCCATACAGCAGACGATAGGTAAATTCATATGACAAAACAAAAGGCATAGGATATCGAGACATGTGCTGTACCACCCAAAAAAGAGAGGCGGACTGGGCCTCCCTAACTTATTCTTTTATTACCTAGCGGCACAAATGACACAAGTTGCGATGTGGCACTCGCCCCAAGATAAAAGGAAATGGGTGGAAATAGAATCCCTCATGTTGGGCGCAGATCTATCTCAGTTTATAATATGGATTCCCAGGGAAGATAGACCTATGGTCCGAGTCACTTGCACTGCAATCCTAAACTCTATTAGACTCTGGGACTCATATGGGCTGAAATATGGTCTTGTGTCATCACCGTCCCCCCTCATGCCTATGCTAAGTAAGAGAGCGTTCAGCCCAGGCTTGGCAGATAGGAATTTTAGAAACCTAGAAAGAGCGGGACTTCAGAGGATACACCATCTCTACCAGGGGACTGAAATTATTACATTCGATGAGCTCAAACAAAGTCACTACTTTACACCAGATGATTACTTTCGGTACCTACATGTTAAGACACTCACAGCTTAAATGGATGAAACCGCCGTTTAGCCGATCTTCCCCTTTTCACAGAGACACAGGCTCTATATAGTAGACCGCCAAACTCCCGAACGGAGTACAAGGGAATGTGGTAAATCCACGAATAACGAATCAGCCAAACTCCTTCCACGGCTAAAACAGGCGAAAGAAATACTTCCAAGTAGCACTTCCCCCAAACACGAGACCAAGCTCCGTCTTGAGGGTAAAATAGGATCTGCTTTAATGAGGGCTACCTGCTCGGTATTTATGCAGGTCTCCCACCTGGTGGACACTCCCCTAGGGGACCAGATGGAAGACTGGGACACATATCGTACAGTAGCCAATCACAGTGGCTTAGGTTTAAGCACTCCTCTTTATACAAGTAAATCCATCCTCTCTATCCTGGAGATAATCCAATTATCTCCAAGGATAAAGGCAAACCGCCATTTTACATGAAACATTAAAAATGTATAAAAATACCGAATGCATTGGATTCGTGTAACATATCCCCAGATAGCCTGGATCTGAGCGCACATAACTACCGAATAGCGCTCAGACCCAATGCACACAGTTGAATCGCCATGGAGTCAAAGTCTTTTACACTGACCTTTCGGTATACGAATGACTCCATGGGATGGCTATCTGGGTTAAGTCCATTGGTATCATCCAAACTCCCGAACGGACCGGTGTTCGTATGCCTCGATGAAAAAGAAGGGTGATCGGCAGTTTCAGCGGTGTTCGGTAGGACACTGTTACGACACGAACCGTCGGGTAGATGAAGCCGCCGTTTAGGCAATAATCCCCTTTCTCCAGAAATGCAGTTTAAATTCCGCCGATCGCTAAACTCCCGAACGAAGTCCACGAACACGGCAACTCCCGATCAGCCAAACAGTCGAACGCCTTCCACAGCTAGAAATAACGAAAGCGCTGTCCCAGTAATAATTCCCCCACAAACGAGACCAAGCTCCGTCTTGAGGGTCAAATGAAGTTCTGTTTAATGGGGGCTACCTGCCCGGTATTTATGCAGGTCTCCACAAGGTGGACACTCCCCGAGGGGACCTTGTGGAAGACTGTAACACATATTGGACAGTAGCCAATCGCAGTGGCTTCAATAATAGCCCTTCCCATCTTGCCCACAATTCCGTCTTCTTTACCTTGGAGATAATTGGGGAAGAAACCTAATTATCTCCCAAGGTAGAGACCATCGCCATCTTAAATTACAGTAACAAAAAGACATTAAAATACATAACTACAGAAATACCGAATGCATACGGTTCGTGTAACGTATCCCCAGACAGCCTGGATCTGAGGGCATGTTTTCACCGAATAGCGCTCAGATCCGATGTATCCAGTCGGATGGCTGTCGGGGCGAAAGTCCATATGAATGAATAAAACTCCCGAACGACCGACGTTCGCATGCCTTGTCGAAAAGGAAGGTAGGCAGCAGCTTTTCAGCGGTGTTCGGTAGTTTAAGTGTCCGTTTTTAGTTCCATACAGTTTGTACCGAACACCGCTCGGTGTTCATATGTCCCAAAATGGCCGCTGCCTCGTGGTCGACATGCGAACGACGACCACCCGTACGAATGGAATGGAGAGGTGTCTGCGGTTAACCACAACGTTCTAATTGGGGCCAGAAGGTTAACCAGCAGCACACTCCTCTCCTGGGTGGTCGTTCGTTCGGTAGTTTCAATCGGTATTTTGCAACTACACGAACGGGGTTATAGGAACAGGCAATTCCGCCAACAAAAAGGGAAACAGACGAACCAACAATGCAGATGAATCTGTCACACGGCTCCCCCCTTGTGGAACACTCCGGCAGACCCGGCTTGACCCTTTAGCGGGTCGACGTGGGGATGACCGGACTAGGATGGGGTGAGGATGTCGGTTTGCCTGGACAATCCACCTGCGTTCCCATTCTGCTTACCGGGTCGATAAGTGATGGTGAAATTATATGGCTGTAGTGCTAAACTCCACCTCAACAGTCTGCCATTGTCTCCAGAGACCCGGTTAAGCCAGACAAGGGGACTGTGGTCCGTCACCAGGGAAAATTCCTGTCCATATAAATACGGGCTTAGCTTCTTCAATGCCCACACCAGGGCCAAACACTCCTTCTCCACTGCCGCATAACTCACTTCCCTGGGTAACAGCTTTCTGCTGAGATATGCGACAGGGTGCTCTCCTCCATCTTCCCCGACCTGGCTCAGCACAGCCCCCAGTCCATACATGGAAGCATCTGTATGGACGAGAAAACGTTTGTTAGGGACTGGGGCAGCCAGGACAGGGGCATTCACAAGAGCTTGTTTGAGTGCTTGGAACCATAGGCGTGCGCACGGGGTGTGCCGGGTGTGCCTGGGCACACCCTAATCCCCATGGCACGCCTATGGTTTGAGTCCTGCAGGAACAGCGTTCCTGCACTTTTTTTGAGCAGGAACGCTGTTCCTGCAGGCACTCAGTGCCCCCTGTTTCACCTCTTGCCCCTGTCATGGGGGGGGCAAGAGGTGATGGATCCCCACCCACCCTGCAGCTCAGCGCGCGGCGAGGGAGCTCTCTGCTGTCTGCTCTCTGCTTCCTCTCGCCGCGCGCTAATGCCGGGAGCCGGAATATGACGTCATATTCCGGCTCCCAGCTCCAGCAGACAGCCCGCGCGGCGAGAGGGAGCAGAGAGCTCCCTCGCCGCGCGCTGAGCTGGAGAGCGGCGCTCGCCCCCACTGGACCCCAGGGAAAAGTCCACTCCAGGTAGGAGGCTGGGTGGAATTTTTTTAAATTAAAATGTAATAATTTGTTCTTGTGTGTGTCTGTGTGTGTGTCTGTGTTTGAGTGTGTGTCTGTGTGTGAGTATGTGTGTGTGTGTCTGTGTGTGTGTCTGTGTTTGAGTGTGTGTCTGTGTGTGAGTGTGTGTGTGTCTGTGTGTGAGTGTGTGTGTGTCTGTGTGTGAGTGTGTGTGTCTGTGTGTCAGTGTCTGTGTGTCAGTGTCTGTGTGTGTGTGTGTGAGTGTGTCTGTCTGTGTTTGAGTGTGTGTCTGTGTGTGAGTGTGTGAGTGTGTGTGTCTGTGTGTGTGTGTCTCTGAGTGTGTGTCTGTGAATGTGTGTGTTTGTGTGTCTGAGTGTATGTGTGTGTGTGTCTGTGAGTGTTTGTGTGTCTGAGTGTTTGTGTGTCTGAGTGTCTGTGTGTGTGTGTCTGTGAATGTGTGTGTGTGTCTGTGAGTGTATGTATGTGTCTGTGTATGTATGTGTGTGTGTGTGTCTGAATGTGTCTGTGAGTGTGTGTGTGTACGCATATATATATATATATATATACACACACACACACAAACACACACAGAGCCGGCGCTATCTGAGTGTCGGCTCTGCTCTAAGCCTCCATGGGCCAGCGGGGAGACCAAAGATCTACCTCACCGGCCCACAGCAGCATGGAGGGAGGCAGGAGAGGACCCAGGGAGCTCTAGACAGACGCTCCGCCAGGTTCCTCTCGCAATATCTGAGTGTTGCTGCGGCAACGCTCAGATCTCGCGAGAGTTAACTCTAGCCCCGCAAGCTAGAGTTCACTCTCCACTGGACCACCAGGGATGGAACATGGCAGCAAGGATTTACTAATCTGCCAAATCCCTCCAAACATACAGCACACACACATACAGCACCTACACACATACAGCTCACACACACACAGTACACTAACCGCACCCTCACAAACACACACAGCACCTTTAAAAAAAACACAACACCCTCACACACACACACAAACAGCACCCTCACAAATACACGACACTCACATAAACAGCACCCTCACAGGACAAACATACACACACAAACACCCTCACACACAAACAGCACAGTCACAAACACATACACACACACACAAACACCCTCACATCACACTAACAGCACCCTCACACACACATCACACTAACAGCACACACAGCAGTGTATGTGTGTGTGTGTGTATATATATATATATATATATACATACACACACACACACACACACACACACACGCGGCGTGTGTTTGTGCTTTAGGGTGCACACCCTAATGCAATAGGCTGCGCACGCCTATGCTTGGAACGCAGCTTCACAAGCCGGAGACCACAGGACCTGCTTAGGAAGATTTTTCTTGGTCAGGTCAGTCAGGGGTTTAGCAATAGCGCTGTAGTCGGGGACAAAGCGTCTATAGTATCCTGCTGTCCCTAGGAAGGCTAACACCTGGGTCTTGGTGATAGGCGTGGGCCAGTTAGCAACTGCCTCTATCTTGGCTGGCTCTGGTCTCTGGCTCCCACACCCCACTCTGTGACCCAGGTATTGCACTTCAGCCATGCCTAAATGGCACTTCTCTGGCTTCAATGTCAGGCCAGCGGCCCGAATCTTGTCCAGTACTACCCCTACATGCACTAGGTCTTCTTCCCAGGACTCACTGTAGATCGCAATGTCATCCAGGTATGCACAAGCAAATTCCTGGAATCCATCAAGAAGTCTATCCACCATACGCTGGAAGGTAGCCGGGGCATTCTTCATCCCAAATGGCATGACCTTAAATTGGTACAGGCCAAATGGGGTGACGAAGGCCGACTTGGGGATAGCATCCTCGGCCAGGGGAATCTGCCAGTAGCCTTTGCACAGGTCTATGGTGGTCAGATAGCGTCCCCTGGCAATGCGATCTAGCAATTCGTCTACCCGGGGCATCGGGTAGGCGTCAGTGGTGGTCCGCTCATTGAGCCGCCTGTAGTCCACACAGAATCGGGTGGTCCCATCCTTCTTGGGCACCAGGACTACAGGCGAAGCCCAAGGGCTATCGGAGTGTTCGATGACCCCCAGTTGGGTCATTTCCTGTATTTCCTTCCGCATTCCTTCCCGGACTGCTTCAGGGATACGGTAGGGGGGCTGTCGCAGAGGGTTCTGTCCAGGGGTTTCTACCTTGTGTACAGCTAGGGTAGTGTAACCAGGTTCTTGGGAGAAGGTCGCCTGCTTTTCCCACAGAAGCTGTCTGGCCTGGCCCTTCTCGGTAGCGCTCAATCTGTCCCCTAGCTGTACTAGGCTAGTAAGATCCGTCTGGGGGTCCCTCTCTAACAGGTCTGGCAAGGGTAAACTTTCTGTATCATCTGCAGCAGGGGCACATACTGCAGCGACATTCTCTGGTCTCTCCTGATACTCCTTTAGCATGTTCACATGGAAGGATCGCTGGATCCTTTCATCCGAACAGCTGGCTATAAGGTAGGTAGTATCGCATACCTGTGCTAACACCTTATACGGGCCCTGCCAAGATGCCTGCATCTTGTTTGCCTTCACAGGTTTGAGCACTAGTACTTTCTGCCCAACCTGGAAGACTCGCTGTCGGGCACTCCGATCGTACCACCTCTTCTGTCTCCCCTGAGCCACCTGGAGGTTCTCCCTTACCATTAGGGACAGTTTCTCCATGCGGTCCCGGAGTTCCAGAACATATGGTACTATGGGGGTCCCTTCCTGCTCTGTCTCCCCCTCCCAGTGGCCTCTAATGAGATCTAGGGGTCCGCGGACCCTTCTCCCATATAGCAACTCAAAGGGGGAGAACCCAGTAGATTCCTGGGGCACCTCTCTGTAGGCAAACAGCAGATGAGGCAGGAATCGCTCCCAGTCTCTGCAAGTGTCAGAAAAGGTCCTCAGCATTTGTTTGAGGGTGCCATTAAATCGCTCGCAGAGACCGTTAGTCTGTGGATGGTAAGGTGAGCTAAGCAGCGGTTTAATACCGCACACCTTCCACAGTTGCTGGGTGAGCACAGCGGTGAATTGGGTTCCCTGGTCAGAGAGAATCTCTTGAGGGAACCCGACTCTGGTAAAAATCCTAACCAGGGCATCAGCAACTGTCTCTGCCTCTATATTAGACAGCGCTACTGCCTCTGGATAGCGAGTGGCATAATCCACCACGGTGAGAATATATTTCTTACCGGATGGACTAGCCCTGGCCAGTGGACCCACAATGTCAACGGCTATGCGGGCAAAGGGCTCCCCAATGATAGGCATAGACATAAGCCTAGCTCTTGGGTGGTCCCCCCGCTTTCCTATCCGTTGACATGTGTCACACGTACTGCAGTATGTCCGCACAGCCTGATTGAAGTTTGGCCAAAAAAAGTTCTGCATGATCCTATAGGCTGTGCGGCGGGAACCTAGATGTCCAGCTAACGGAACATCATGCCCTATCCGCAGAATCTCCTGCCGGTATTTCGCGGGCACTACCAGCTGTCGATTCGGCGGAGGGGCAACACTCTTCGGGGAAAGCTTGGGGATCCTATATAACCTGTCCCCCACCCACTCATACCGTTCCCCATCTAATCCTTCCTCTCCAGTATCTGCCCTGTCCCTATACTTCTGGAGGGTCGAGTCTGTCTGAGTTTCCCTCCCAAACTCCTCTGGGGAGTCCCAGTTAACAAAGGTCGGTTCTAGGGTACCAGTCGGGGACTCGGTCCTTACCTGGGTCTCAGCAGCAGGTGGGCTGGTTCCAACAGCACGGGTCTGGGCACGGGTAGTCACTGGGTTGATAGCGGCAGGTCCCATTGGAGCATAGGCGGACACCAAAGGGGCCAAGTCGTTCCCAAGTAAAACATCAGCCGGTAAGTCTTTCATAACCCCCACATTCACGTGTCCAGAGCCCACCCCCCAATCCAAGTGAACCCGGGCAACCGGTAAGCGGAACACTGCACCTCCCGCCACCCTCACTGCCACAGTATCTCCAGTGTGCTGGTGTTCGGACACAAGGTTCTTCTGGAGCAAGGTCATAGTGGCTCCGGTGTCTCTCAGACCAGTTACCGCTTTGCCATTCAGTTTAACGGTCTGTCTGTGCTGTTGACGGTTATCCTGCTGCGCTGCTTGTACTGGATCCGCCTCATGTAGTATACCCCAAAATTCCTCCTGCTCAAGACAGTGAGCGGAAGGTGGGGGTGGCTGCTGATTTCCGCCGGCTGGTCTTCTCCACGACTGTGCTTGGTTCGAATTGTTTAATGGGCACTCGGGTCGCTTGTGCCCCAACTGCTTACACCCATAGCAACGGATCGGCTGTGAGTAATCCCGGGCGTTGAATCGGGCTGGCTGAACGTAATTGTTCGCTGTTGGCATGGTGGGGGTGCGTTGTGCTGGGGGTTGATACACTGCAGAGGTTGGAGGGGCTGCTGGTTTGTACTCCACTCGGGTAGGGACCTTGGCTGCTGTCTGGTCCAGTTTCCTGGCATCAGTGTACTCATCAGCCAGACGAGCAGCTTCGGGTAAGGTAGCGGGTTTGCGGTCCCTAACCCACTCTCTGACTCCTACAGGTAAGCGGTCAAAACAGTGCTCCAACAAAAACACTTGCAGCACCTCTTCCCCAGTTACCGCTTGGCACCCTGCCATCCAGTGGGCTGCGGTGCGGTGTACTCGGCATGCCCACTCAACATAAGAATCCCCAGCCTGCTTGTTAGTGTCCCGGAATCGCCGCCGGTATGCCTCAGGGGTCACAGCGTATCTGGCCAAAAGGGCATCTTTCACTGCCCTGTAGCTGGTAAGTTCCTCCTCTGGGATGGCCCGAAACGCCTCACTGGCCCGGCCGGATAACTTCCCAGAGAGGATGGGGACCCATTCTCCTGCGGGTACCTGGTGCAAGGCACATTGCCTTTCAAAATCCGCCAGGAACCCATCAATTTCTCCTTCGGCTTCTACAAAGTTCCGAAATGCAGCAAAAGGTACTTTTCTCCTTCCATTATTATTAAACGGTACCTCAGCTGCTGCAGCGCCTCTTCCTTGAAGCGCCTGTTGTGCTGCTACTGCCGCTTGCACTTGCACCACAATATCTGCTGCGGGGTTGGGGCCAAAATGTGCCAGCCTGATCTGAACTGCCCGGTTAAACTGTATCTCCTCGGGTGTTAACTCCAGTATGCCAGGCACATCCGCTCCCCCCGTTCTTTGTGCTGCATCCATTTCCAATAATATGGCAATAATCTCTCTTTTCTTGAGATTACTCGCTGATCGTCCTCTGCGTTCCAATATATCTTTAAGGGTAGCACGCCTTAATTCCTCATACTGCATTTCCAACCTGGGATGTGTAGCTGGCCTTCCGGGCTGTAGGATTCATCCCGTCGCTTGCCACCAATTGTTACGACACGTACCGTCGGGTAGATGAAGCCGCCGTTTAGGCAATAATCCCCTTTCTCCAGAAATGCAGTTTAAATTCCGCCGATCGCTAAACTCCCGAACGAAGTCCACGAACACGGCAACTCCCGATCAGCCAAACAGTCGAACGCCTTCCACAGCTAGAAATAACGAAAGCGCTGTCCCAGTAATAATTCCCCCACAAACGAGACCAAGCTCCGTCTTGAGGGTCAAATGAAGTTCTGTTTAATGGGGGCTACCTGCCCGGTATTTATGCAGGTCTCCACAAGGTGGACACTCCCCGAGGGGACCTTGTGGAAGACTGTAACACATATTGGACAGTAGCCAATCGCAGTGGCTTCAATAATAGCCCTTCCCATCTTGCCCACAATTCCGTCTTCTTTACCTTGGAGATAATTGGGGAAGAAACCCAATTATCTCCCAAGGTAGAGACCATCGCCATCTTAAATTACAGTAACAAAAAGACATTAAAATACATAACTACAGAAATACCGAATGCATACGGTTCGTGTAACGTATCCCCAGACAGCCTGGATCTGAGGGCATGTTTTCACCGAATAGCGCTCAGATCCGATGTATCCAGTCGAATCGCCATGGAGTCAAAGTCCTGCACCAGTCCTTCGGTATACGAATGACTCCATGGGATGGCTGTCGGGGCGAAAGTCCATATGAATGAATAAAACTCCCGAACGACCGACGTTCGCATGCCTTGTCGAAAAGGAAGGTAGGCAGCAGCTTTTCAGCGGTGTTCGGTAGTTTAAGTGTCCGTTTTTAGTTCCATACAGTTTGTACCGAACACCGCTCGGTGTTCGTATGTCCCAAAATGGCCGCTGCCTCGTGGTCGACATGCGAACGACGACCACCCGTACGAATGGAATGGAGAGGTGTC